AATYGTCCTCTAGGCAAAGTCCTTTTTATTTCCATCACGGTAATAGACACTGGAATGATCATAAACGATCGGACTATCAGTTTGTCTTCCRTTGTTTGTGTGACCCGATTTCCCGGGCTTCCAGTATTTCCGGCCCGTCACCAGTACGTTACTGAGCAGAGTCTCTGATTGGTTGATGCGACGTGTCGAGCAGCAAAAGTGCAGATTCTCCAACTCGAGTGTCAGATGCTTTGGATGCGCCACACCCACGGAAAACACTCAAAACGTGGGAAACGCTTCGAAACGCACTGCTCAWAACGCACCAGACGCTCACCAAACACTGCTCGGCTTCTAGACCCCCCTAGATGCATGTCCACCAATGACTTTGCATAAAAACCAGATGCTCCTGATGCTCAAAACGTGTTTGATGTAAATGCAGCTGAAGAGTTGAAGCTGTTCTAGCTGCAAAGGGTGGAATATGAACGTCATATTGAACCCTATGGATTAGGAATGGGAGGTCACTTAAGCTCATGTGAGTCAAGACAGGTGATCCAATACTTTTGGCAATCGAGTGTATATCACATTTGTTTTACCAGTGTTGCAGTAGCTGCAAAAACAAAACAAAAGACCCAACACATTGTTGTGGAGGAAATGGGAAATCTAAATCTTGAAGCTTTCTGAGGCTTTTTTGAGGTTCTAATAAAGAAATTTCTTCTTTGATACACAACAAAGCACCCTCCTCATTACCATGTAAAACGTTTTATGCACTTGAGTTGTTGTACTGTGAAGCAGACTTTTTTTCTTCTTTTCTGTCTCACGGGAGAGCAGGGCGGTAAGTGTTTACAACACCAGCTACATCTGCACTTCATTATTTAGTCAGTTATGGACAAGAGCCACAGAGAGTTTTAACTGTTTCACCACAGCAAACATCTGTAAGTTTCCTCAGATCAGCTCAGGARCACGACTGAGAAAAAATATGCTGAAATTATAATTTACTGCTCCTTTCAATAACACATTCAATGTCTTCCACTTTAAAATTAGGCTTAATGAATTAGAGACTAAAAATATTCAACATGTTATTCATCTCTGTGTCATCAAAATGGCCTCTGTGGTTCTCAAACTTTTTTGATCACTTTTGCTACACCTGTCCTGCCGCGAGCTTTTAGAAACAAAGCGAGCATCAAAGTGTGCAGGAGAACTCACCTCTGTGGAGCAGCTCTCCCTCTTATCTTTTATTAAACCAGGAATTACCTCAGCTTAGACATTTCAACTGAAGTCCTCGAATTTAGCGATAACATATCCCTCTTTTTTCCAAACCATATGCTCTGTTAAAGAGAATAATAACAAATATAGATATACTGTATTTATTCATGTATAATACAATCTTGAGCGTAATATGATCATCATTTTTTGAACTTAAGAAGCATAAAACATCTAATCACCAATAACTCGTGAATAATACCCCCCCCCCCCCACACACACACACTTTAAGGATGTTTTTTAGGGTTAAATTTCTAGTTTTATACATGAATAAATACAGTAGATGCTGTATGTTTGCTTGGTTTCCTATTTGTGCATCCCTAAAATAGGTCCAGGCTACAACAAGGTGTTGTACCGTTAGCTGCTACATATTTTGACCTGTGCAAAGGAAGGATAAAGGAAACGAATAAACTTGAGCGATGCTGCATCCGACAGTACCCCGGGCCCCCCACCCCGGGTAGATTAGATAACTGATATGTTGAGGAAGAATGCTCAAATGGATTCACTCTTTTCTGTTACTATTTATGAAGCTATTTGGGATATTTTCTACATTATATACTCTATTAATACTTTCTGTGTCTTTGCATTGCCATGACTGTTTTAAGCTTTTTTTCCTGTGGTAACATAAACTGAAATCATTGGACCAGTCTGAGAGACTACCAAGCATCACAGAAATCCAGAAGAGTGGAGCTGTTCACATAGCCTTTAACCGCTCCCTGACCAGCTTCCTGGCCTATAGATTTTATCATCTCCCTGAATTTTCTAACTTTTTTCCCCCCTCTTTTAAATCTTTACCAATTGAGCACACTTGCAGTGAGTTGAGCTGGGATTTTTATGTTCTAACAGGGGTCTTGAGATATCAGACCTGAGTACAGTTCTGCATCCCCTTAGAGGCCATCTGTTTGGCCTCTGTTCAGTCCCACGCCCTTCCTCTCGTTCATTCACCCATCTTTGGCCTGCTGCTCATGTACCAACCTCTCTTGGGATGAATTCTCAGCCAAATGTCCCTAGAGAATGTGGAGTAGAGGCCTTCCAGAGGAAAAAGGAAAAAGAAAAATKTCCACCATTGCCTCTTTGGGAGATGTTGTGTTTGGATTCTTGAGGGGTTTTATTCTTCATGGCAATCTTTTATTTATCAAAAAACCATAAGCACCACACTTCAGCAAACCAGGCTTTACATTTTGCTTTTTAAAAAAAGCAAACCAACAAAAATGTGCCATGCCCCAGATCAATTTATGTGGTTTGACTTTTAACATCCAATTCTTTTTTTTAAAGCTCATGATAACAAAGATCAGAAAAATTTGCATTCATTGTGCGAGTTTGTTTTGGAGATTTGTTTTCAGACAGGAGTGCCACAACTACTCTGCATTCCGTTGCCTGCGTCATATTTCTAAATATAATTATCAGTCGTAGTGTGACCAGCATTGCTTAGCAAGGTAATGTCTCTGTGTTATACACACACACACACACCCCCACACACACACACACACATACACACTCAGTTTCTCTGCTTTTAAATTATTCCTCACGTGCTGAAATACATAAAAGGATATCGAATATTAGCAGGCCACTCCGATAGATTTGCTCTTCTGATTAAACAAGTAATGCTTTTTAGGAGGACAACTTTGAAACTCCAATAYTCTTGGGTGTTTCCCTGGACTCTAAAATACTGTATACCACTGGGTGTCAAACTCATTTTCACTGAAGGCCACATGAGTGTTATGTTGGCCCTCGAAGGGCCAGTTGTAATCAACTTTGACGTTTCATGTTTAACTTTGACTAAACAGTGTTTTAACACTGATAAAAACTAACTGTACGACTGACTAAATCTGAAATAAATACAAAAATATTATTAAAAGCAAAACTAATAAAGTTTTACTCACTGAGTTTCTAGTGAGTAGCTAATATGCATTATGACGGATTTAGTTAATTATTTATAAGGTGAAAGAAAATAACAATTGTCCTGCCAATGACCTGTTGATGTAACTGAGCAATTTAGTTGGATAGCACAGTATTAATGTCTGAAAATAAGCTGCTTTAAAGTCAGCATCAACCATTAAATAAATCTGTCATAATGCATATTAGCTACTCACTAGAAACTCATCAGTGAGTAAAACTTTATTAGTTTTGCTTTTAATAATATTTTTGTATTTATTTCAGATTTAGTCAGTCGTACAGTTAGTTATTATCAGTGTTTAAAAGAGGACGTGTTAAAACACTGTTTAGTCAAAGTTAAACATGAAATGTCAAAGTTAACTACAACTGGCTCTTCGAGGGCCACCATAATGCTCATGTGGCCCTTGATGAAAATGAGTTTGACACTCTTGTTGTAAAGAATTATATCTAGTACTAGTGTATTGAGATACATAAAGTATTGGCCTCAGATCAATAACCCTACTCAGAACTGCATGGAAAGGAAAAATGTAGAGATGCTCGATATTGACTTTTTTCCGATATTCGATATGACAATATTGTTCAACACTTAATTTCTGATTCCGTAATTAACCGATATTACAAACCGATATTAAGCTGACATCCCATATCTCCTGTCAGGGACATTCTGCCTGCTTTTACTGTGATACCCCACTAGATGCATTCCACAGGTAAACATTGTCTGTACAAAATAAAAACCATTTCACTGAAGTTATGGAAAAAGTGCCTATTTAATAACATTTTGTCTCAAACAATAGTTTGAATCATGCTCTCCCTGAGATAATCCAGTTTGCTGATGTCATCAATTGTGCACCAGTGAATGTCTCTGGAACACAAGCTTTTAACATATTTTGGTCAAATTCAGGCATTAATTTATTGGGCTTTTGGTATCGAAAGAAAAACCGATACAGATATGTAGAGATATTACATTTTTATGCCAATATCGGACCGATAATATCGGACATCCCTAGAAAAATGCATCAAAATTCTGGTTTGAAGTAGCTTGAATGTATTTTTTTATTTTTTCATCTACTGGTTGAAGGTTTGAATGTAGTAAACTGTAGACCCTTTAGTCAAGCGTTCCGGTCCAGTTGATGCAGAAAAACAGTGAATATAAATGTGCACATTGCACCGTCTCTCTTGCAAACTCCGAGAAACACATTCTGAAATCAGTCATTTTATTTAGTCTTTACTCCAGCTCAAACCCTGAAGACATATTATCTGCTGTAACTGGTGTTTGCCTGATGTGAGGATTCAGACAGGTGTACTGTATGTAGATGTCAAGTGATGGGCTCTCAGCTTTTATAACCCACTGGCCCCAAACAGGTTGATCCAACTCTGTTGTCTTATATTCCTGTTTTCAATCATTACATTGTACTCACGTGTTAATTTGTGATTTGAAGGTAGGAACACTGGAAGAAATTCTGTTTTACTGGGTTTTAACCTGCTTGAAAATGTTTCTTAACATATCAATTTAAATCACTTAACAGCTGTTTCTGTTATTTGTTTTTTGAGTCTTTTTTCTGTCTTTTCATACATTAAAAACAATTATTATAAATATTATTAATTTTTAATGAATGAATGATTGCATTGCACCAGTTCTCCTACGAAGGAGCCTATAAATGTCTCCAGAGCAGTGTGCATCATTTTGTCTCTTTCACTCACTGTTTTTCTTCTCATTTTTCCTAAACAAGTGAAATTGTTTTGACTTTGAATATTTTCCTCTTTCTCTCTTTCTTTCAGTTTACACAAACCTGTAATGTTTCTCAGCAGGGGTTCTGCTTTCTCCAAGTAAATTTATCTGTCATGGTTTTCCTCTGTCTTTGAAGGGAACAGCAGCCATGGACTGAGGAAAAACGCCCTGGGTTTAGATTAATATCACAACTCAACAGGTGACCCTTGACCCTTCCATGCCTCCTCCAGTCTCTCTGTTTCCTCAGTCTGTCTTTGCTGCTTCGCCCCACCCCCACATCCGCTCACACAGAACAACTCGGCTTTTTGTCTTTTTGCAATCTCTTTAATGATTACTTGGTTTCTCTCTTTAACAAATCTGCAACTGTCTTTTCGCATCTCAGTAATCATTTCCTTTCTTTCAAAGATTTCCTTTGATGGACATCCATAACGGCTCACCCACAGCCCGTTATGATGGATTTATTCATCATATTTTCTCTTTGTGCTGTCCCACTCATCTTTTCAATCTAAAACATGACGAGCTTTTGTCTTACTAACCAAGTTGTAGGACTTACGGCCCACATGAAGCTTAACATCAAGTCTCCTTATTAACATTTTCTTACTTTCAGCATTTTTACACAGCTTTTAAACTGTATTATTTTTTACTGTGTTCTCATTGGACTTCTGAGGTTTTGAATTCTGTCCAGTTTATGTTGAAATAAATCTTGTGTTTTAAATCTTAAAATATCAAGTGTGTATCATAGTTGGCTTTAAAAATCTTTTTAAAAGTTTGTTTTTTATTTGCAAACTCTATAAAAATAAAGTTAACCCATTTTAGCCCTTTAATTTAAATGTGTTATGCAATAATACAAATAATAAGAGACTGAATTTTTCTAAATCATCGGTTTTACAATAAAAAAAAATCAGAATTTGCCTGTTTTACTTTACTAGATTATGAAGTATCCACATGGCAAGCAAAAACCTGTGCTTAGGTTTTGGTGGAAAATGCACCTTTTCCCTCAAAAGCATATGTGTCTTTCATTCAACAAAAGAGTTCCAACAATCTTGAAATATTTATAAAAGATGCATTAAATTTTTCATATTTTTCTGTGCTGGATAGTTGGCAAACTTGGCAAAAGAACACATATTTTTTAGGCCTGAAAGTTGTAAAAAATATATTAAGCAGTGAACTTTTCAGATTTGCAAGAAACTTCACTTTTCCTCTGATTCCACAGAGGAAGAAATCCAGGCTCCTCATCATTTTCTTCTCCCAACTTTGAAAACATGTTGCATTCACTGCACCTCAGAATTGGGGTATTTTTTAAAGTTTTACTTGTTTATTTATTTATTTATTGTTATTTGCTGGAGTTTACCATTAGAAGTTTTACATTTTATGAAGAAATATGTGAATTTTCTACAAGTTTGTCTTGTTTTTCAAACTTATTTTGACAATAAAATTTGGCTTTTTATAATTATTCCTTCCTTTTTCCCACTGGGATTTAGACATTTTGAATTTCTATTTGTGCGTAAATGCTTATTTAGTAGGAAGCAGCATAAGGAAACATTTTATTCATATTGTTGTTCATATTTTTATCCTCTTAAAAACATGAAGAGTTTATCTTAAAGTGAAGTCCAGAGTTAAAGTCAATAAGTAGAAAAAAGGAATTACAAATTCAAAGGAATTTGAGGTTTTAATTCAGGGTTTTTATTATTTTGTTTTAATTTTAGTGTTGCATAAACCTTTGGGAATTTGTCTTATGTTAAAGTAATATCCAGATAAAATGATGTAAAGAAAACTAATTTGGATATGTGAAAGTATTTAAAAAGTCAAAAATGGAATTTAATAATTACCATATATAAGAAAGATTTATTTTAAAACATTACAAATGTATTTCAGTATTTAGATTACTGTGTCCTGCTTGCACAATATATCCAATCTAGCTACATTTGAACTTATTCACTTGTTCAAATTTTATTAAAGTTTTAAAAATGTGATCATGAAGGATTTTTCCAACAGTCATTTTCAGGTTTCATCTCTCTGTAGTAATTGACAGCGTAACAGAAGCCTTGAAATAAAAGCCATCAGGTTGAATTGGTCATAATTGTGATTGCACCACTTTACTAAAGTGGACTGGAGAAATAAGAACGACGTGTGAAAAGAATTTAAAAAGACCTTATGGGGCTCAGTACAGACAGCTCTGAGTTTTAGTGAGCTGAATCATTCTGTGTGCTTGAAGGCCTACCACCAAATAATAATAAAAAAAAACATGTAAAAGTTGATTTACAGATCAGTTCAGAATTATTAAGACACAACTAAGACAAGGGTCATTTCAAAGGAGCTTGTGCAAATACTGAAAAAAAAAAATCTAAAATAAAACAACTTCCTAAACTGGTAAGTTGAACATTTATTTCCTGACATAAATGTAAGGGCAATGACTCTGGGCTTTATCTGACTCRTTTTATTCCATTTAGAAGAAGATACGTAAAATTATACTTATAAAAAAACCACATAGAGATTGACAAAACACTGAGTTAGAGGCCTGTTTACCACATTATTCCAAGACTCTTCAGATAGATATGAAGTTTTGGTTTTAGAGGAATTTGTGTCCATTCTTGCTAAATCTTATCACCTTGTTTCATTCATCTAGTGCTAAATTTGTGAACAGACTCGGTTTGCTTTGAAAACATCTTCACTTAAACCACCTATGAAGGTGAACCGGATCCCTTTTATCTGCAGATGTTTGGTAGTCTAATAACAGTTTGTCCAGAGCTCCATTGTAATATCAGACCTCCTATTGAACTGCTGTGACCCCACTGAAAGAGCAGAGTTGTTGCTTGGTTTCCTTGAGATTAGCAAAATGCTGCTTATCTGCTTTTTTCTTTCATTTAGTTTAATGATGGTTTGGATTGTTTGGACCCACTGTGGTCACTGTAAGCTATTTGAGCTGTGTCAATCACAGGACAACGGTCTCAGCAGCTGTAAATCACATATTCACATAAGTAAATTCATCATTGATGTACGTTTACAGTGAATCTTTGTAAATGTAAAACAATGTAGTTCTGATGCTTGTTATATTGTTATTTTTACAGAAATATCAGCAGTCCTGTTACACTGATTTGACACAGATTTGTTTTTATCTGCTAACAGAGTGAGTAATTGACATCTGACTGCAAAGACGTTTGGAGTAAAAACGCAATAAAATGGTCCAAGATGAATGTTAGTGCAAGGTCTGAACAGGGCTCGAGATTTTTGCAGCTCAATAGTTTTTATTATTGACATGAAAGTCTCTTCATGATGCTCAATATATTTTTGATCAGTTAAAACTGCAGGCGGGCCAGATAAGCTGACTTTATTGAAGTTGTGCAAAATGTGTTGTGCCAGTGTCCTGCTGTGAAAATACCTCACCTTATGGTAGCTTGCTTCTCCAAAATTACAATGAAGGCTTCACAGATTACTAAAAGCACATGGTCACTGCAATAACAATGTTACAAAAGATTTCAGTAACTGACGTACACAAACTGCATCCCAATAATTTGTATAGATATTAGATGATCTCTTCTGTCCTAAATCTACACAGCTGATGTAAATGTTTTTGGATAAAATGCCCCAACACATAGAGAATATTTATGAGCAATGTAATGACAAAAACAGAGACTGCAATGAGGAAAGTCATTTTTTTGCAAGTGATATAGTCTTTGTAGTATTTAAAAATAATTCAAAAGTGTGTTTTTCTAATATTGTGCAGCCATAAGAATATACTCCTCTGCATCAGTGGCTCCTTTAACCAAACGCAAGTTCARATGAGTCAAAGTTTATCCACATTTTGTGGATTATTCCTTGAATAATACAGTTTCAGGTTTATCAATCTGGTGATGGTAAAATCTCCCAGACCCGTCACTTGTGTMATTTTTGCAAACTTGTTTTTCTTGTGTTGTTAGTATTAAATATTATATTTTAAAGGAAATTAAATACCCTCATATTTTCCCGTAAAATGTTGCAAAGTATCTCCCTTTTGTAGTTGTCTGTTTAAACTTCATATATAC